AGGCTAGACAATGGCTGATGTGATTGCTGAAAAAACCAATTGAATGCGATTTTAACATTTGCTACTAACACGACCTAAGCGATGGCATTGGGAATACAAAACACCGCCCACCTGTTCTAAATGTCAGGAAGCAAGTGAAAACACTATAATGGTAAGCGTCCCACCATTAAATACCACTACACCGCGTCGTTTTATACAATTATTCATATAACGACTTTTCTAAATAAGGCTTTGTATGGGAAGCAGTCGAAATAGTGGTCCAATTCGAACCATTCGACCCTGCACCCGCTTTCATGAAAATTTCTCAAAAATTGTTACCTGTAGGTTGAACATAAGAAAACAGGACAGACAGACAGACAAGCTTAGATTGATGGAAAAAGGTGGTTCTGAATCGATTGGTATAACAAAATATGAGTCCACCTCAAGTCCTTTTGAATGCTGCATACATCCGCACAAACTTAACGTACTCTTGTACTGCAAATGTTGCAGGGTATAAAAAGAGGTAAGCTATAAATAGTTTTTGAAAAGAGCTTATAGGCCGTAAAAGGCTTGAGGAAGGCCCCCTTTTTGACAGTCCCTCAACAACATCTGGCATCTGCTTTCATTGTTTGCCTACGTACTTGCAACGATACTTCCATTTCCAGATGCTGCTTAAATACCTTGCTTTTTGCCAAGTCAGCGCTCATAACAATTGCCTTAAAATTTTGCATGTGATCTTAATCTTAAATGTTCTCTCTTGATCTAGAACAGGAATGGTCGTCTAAAGTTATTGAAAACATTCCCTATAACTATTTAAAAACGTTACTTAAGAGCTTTCCGGATCGCCTGCGCTGCAAAATGTGCTTTCCTTATTCTTACTTTTTGGAAATCTTCTTAAATTATATTGCAAAAAACTATTTACTTTAAAGAAACAAAAAGTCTTAATTATTAAGTTTAGGCACTAACATTGCATGCATCCTTTCCTAGCTGCTTTAATGCAATTTAAGAAAGAAAAAAACTAGAAAAATATTCTTCACTATACTCTATTTACTGTCTTTATGTCTCTGTGTACACTTTACTAATATTTAACAAAACTACCAACAGCCAGACTATACAAACTGACTTTGATACGCTTTCAATGGTAATGTAGTCATCGTTGTTGTACTAGAAGTAGTTATAAGCAATAGGATTAAGTAACGCTATAAAGGCTGTAAATACTGATAAAGAATATTACTCTACAGTATGAGGAGAATTTGTGCAGATATAAACATGGATACGCTTTCGCTCACATACACATATTAAATAAACAGTTACGTAGACTTCAATAAATTTATAAACAAAACTGATAAAAACCTGACTTAAGCGACTGCTTGAATTAATCTCCTTCGTTACCGTTTTGGTTCTTTTGTTTTTTTTTTTTTTTTGCTTCCAAATTTAGGACGAAGCATATAAGCATGTACGATTTCGCTCTTTACTTGTGCACTTGTGAAATAGTGTCAAAATATTTTTTCAATGCTTGTCAAATCATCAAACGGGTGTTTGCGGAAAATGTTATCGAAAGTTGATACTAAAACCTATCAAACTCTACCGGGAACTGAACAGGAACGCATCTCAACTGCTTTAATGGGCAACGCACGGTTTTGTCAATTTGAGCGATGATTTTGACATCTAAGGAAAACTTAAGATATATTGGAGGAAGATCTGAGACCGAGACTAAAGCTACTGGGAAGTCCCCTAAAGGTTAACGAGTCAAAAGTCTCCATTTATTTAGATAGTAAGAGGGATAAAAAAGATTCAAAGGGTAGAGTGAATTTCACAGGACGTCGTCTTGATAAAGGGAATGTCGAAAAGTGCTGCTTCAAAGGCATTAAAAGAAATTAATTTGCATTCTGTCTAGAGTTGGTATGGTGCGATTACCAGAATTTCGAAAAGACGGGATTTAAGCCCAAGTACAAAAACAACAAAGAATGAATTATCTGGATCGTATTATCCTTGAAAGCAAAAACTGGATCTATTACTACCCTCGTAAACTCAATATGTCTATGTCTAAACGTGGCGTACAGCGCTATTCTAACGATATTGAAGAAACATTGCCTTGCGACTTCGGCGAATATACCAGGTCTGCAAATGTGAAACTGTAATTTGCCCGTAGATAGTTCTAGCACCGTGTACAGAGAAGTTCTGAATGCATGAAGTTTTGTTTTTTCTAATAGCCTGGTTATTTACCGACAATAAGCAATCGTTACAGCAGCACACACCGCAACACAAAAATGCTTTTCTAGCAACGAAATTTTCAAGTTTTATGGCAAGCGAACAGCCAAACGTTTTTTAGAAGATTACATTCTGTACCTAATAGAGCCAGAAAAGTGGATTACTTTTAGCTATTGAAGCTCGATGGATCGCTTAATATGAAACGCGAAACCACAATAACTCGATTAGAACTGTTCGCTGCTCAAAAAACGAGCGAAATGTCCAAAACCACTTGTGGTACAGGGTATATTAAGTTAGTGCGGACCTACGTAACGCCAACAAGGTGTTAAGGCAGGCCTACATTTTATTATACCGAGCGATTCAGGATCGTTTTCTAAATTGATCTAAGCTTGTCTGTCTGCCCGTCCGTACTCTTGTGTTCAAACTACAGACCGCAAACTTTAAAATATTTTGAAGATATTTGGTACACAGACGTATTTCGACCCAAAAACGAAGGCTATTAAAAGGGGTTCAGATCGGTCCACGTTTTCGATCATCTCCCGTATAACGCCCTATTCTGAAAAGTTGTTATGTGGAAAAAAATCCCAATTTTCAAAATTTCTCGGCAAAAGTGACTAAGCAGTAGTATTTCTGCATTCCATATTAATGCAAAAACTTTCGACCGTCTTGAAAAACTTTTTGAGACTGGTCTCATACACCCGTTCCCGCGGAAACTAAAGTTTTATATAATAAAAAGGTCGAGCTTCCAATATTCCATGCTGAAAATCGAATTTGAAGCACGTAAGTCTATATTTTAGATTCACCGCATATAAACATTCTTATGAAACATAAGCCCTTATATGCCAAGAAGCCTAATTGCTAATTGCATTTTTTTGTTGAAAATTGGGTCATGATACTTAAATAGAGAAAATTGAGTGGACCTAATTTGAATCGTATGGGTCTATTTCTTCCCTACTCCATATAAGAGTGCAGTATAGTAGCTTTGGAAACGCGTGGCAGTAAACATGCGATATATGCAGATATTGAATTTTCAGCAAGATAGTGCTCGTCAGTTATACTGTTCCCATACGCGCTCTCATAACATCATCTCACTTTCCAAATTCGTAACCTATTCATTGTGATACAATCGGATCGATGCAGAATAAATTAACTGAGCAGCGCTTCATTGCCTTGGAATAATTTCGGGAGATGCATTGAATTCCTTAGAAGGTGAATGAATAGTTCTTCCGTGTAAGTACGTGTTCCTTACTAGCAATGTAGGAAAAAGTTATGACTTGTGACGGACTATGCCTATGTTTTCTATTATCAATTCCTATAAATTTAAGGCAAAATTTTATTACGGACACCCTGTATAACAAAATAAATAAATATTACGGATCAAAGTTAAATCGAAATACGCGCAGATACATGTTAAATATGTCTTTGTATTTGTATCTACACAGACTGGTATTAAAAAACAATAAATAACATAACCATAATCGTTGCAGTGTCTAACGATATGCATGGATATTATAAAAACAAGAAAAGCTCAGATATTTGCAAAACAAAAATAATTACAAAAATGGTCAATAAATTAAATTCAAATCAAGAAATATCTTGAATTTCAAACGAATTTGATTCAATTGTGTGAAATTTTTACACGTAAATAAGATAGAGCACCAAATTTCTCAGCAATAACAATACCAATAACAACAACAAAATAATAGCAACGCCGCCACCACCGGCAAACGCCAACGATGAGCTGTTACAATTTTATCTACAAGATTTTACCATATTTCACGCGTATAGATGCTTAGGTATGCGCAAGTAGATGCGTGTATGGGTGTAAAGAAAAAAATACAATACAAATAATACGAGAAAAAAGGTAAAAATTTCTCTACACACACAACGACGCAACTCAAAAACACCAAATGCAGAGAATTGCCTGCAAATTCTCAGAGACAATGGAATTTATGTGTTTATACGGTCATGATTACATTTGCCTCTGCGTACATGTATATGTAAATCTGTATCAGCTACGTTAAAAGCATCAGAAACAGAAGCGTTAGCAGCAGCATCGGCATCAGCATCAACCTTAAATGCAGACATAGTAAATTATTTCTTCTCTATAAACGGGGTAGTGAAGCAGATAGGTAGGTGGATGGATGGTTGGATGGTTGGATGAATGGATGGGTGGGTGGTTGGTTTGTTGGTTGGCTTATTTCATTGCTGAGCACAGAGACCGACCGGCAACAATGTATATATATACATATATATAAAATACATATATATGTATATATATAAAATACATATATATGTATATATATATATACATTCATATGTGTATGTATAAGTTTAAGTTTGCATTTGTTTCTGTTTCTGTTTTACCGGCAAATGTGCGAGAACAGACACTTACTATGTAAAAATACCGGTAAGTGTACGAAAATAAAACAACGGCAACAACAAGTTCAACCAAACTTTAACAACAATGTGGACACAAATCTTTTTTTTCTTTTTAAGCTTCTGGGACTTTGAAAACACAGACGAGACGTTGTCGTTTAAAGCGACACGCAAACACAGCCAAAAAAAATAAATAAATAAATAAAAAGAACAGTGAATAAATGTAATACAGCAACAGCAAAAAGGTTCCTTGAACATAGAAACGCAAAAAAAAATAATAAAAAAAAGAAGGAGTTAAGAGCCAGACAACCAAACAGCTTTGTTAATGGCGTAAAGTTCATTGCAGAGGAATTATCAACGGATAACATTAAATGGCTTTTAAGTAATTCGCACTAATTTATAAGAAAATGTAATTTTTTAATAACACTTACCGCAATAAACTATTGAGGAAAAAATCCAAATCTTTTCTTTTTTAAATAATTTTAATTTAATTTTTAAACCACATAATAGAATTATTCTTAGCACAAATTCACTTATTTATATGAATTTTTGTTTATTACAAATCAAATTTAAAAGCTGATATTTTTTTTTTGTTTGTCTCACAGTTCTGTTCATTACTTTATTAGCAGTTACTATATAATTTATACTGTTTCCTTTTTATTATTTTGTCTAGAATAAATAAAACACTCAATATCCGCAAACATATTTTTTTTGACTTAGGCTGACTACGATTTTTTGATGATAATACACAAAATACGCGAAAAGTAAACCCTCCGAACTTAATTTTCAACACTCTCTCCAACGCTCTCAACGCAACTGACGAATATATGAAAGAGTAATGATAATAAATACTATAATATGCTGAGAATAAAATTCTGCTTCTGAGAGTAAAATTGACTTTGCTGTACATTTCTTATGGATGGCCAAATAAGTTGAGAATAAAAACAGTGAGCGCAACTAACACAAATTTATTGTAGATAGCAATAACAGTTTATAATAAAATAAGCACTACGGAGCGCATAAAGCACGTAAGAAAAAGCCAATTTGGACGGGTTTTTGAATTACGCTCAGACGCAGCCAATTTGAGACGGGTTTTTTGAATTACTCTCAGACGCAGCCAATTTGTGAGGGGTTTTTTGAATTACTCTCAGACGCAGCCAATTTGAGAAGGGGTTCTTGAATTACTCTCAGACGCATCCAATTTGGGACGGCTTTTTTGAATTGCATGTATGAAATAGTTTCCATGCCGGGGATATTTTTCATGGTAGAGGATATTTACGAATGCAAACATGTGATAGATTTATATTGTGTGGAAATTGGTCATTCTCTTGCAAAGACCAAATAATATTTGCCAACCAAATTGTGCCAAGTAATCAAAGAATCTTAGAGCAAGGAAAACAATACATGATGAAAATCCAACATTAAAGTTACGAAGAAACATTTACATTCTCTTCGATTTTTTACAGCTCTCTTAAAATGTAGGTGTTACCAACAAGATAACAAGTATAAGAAGCGAAAAAGCAATTTTATCTCATGGAAGAAATATAACACGACAAATTATGTAAACTTTTTACAATGTTGGTGATATGTAATAAATATTGTGTAATATTTGCAAGATAAAAACCATTTTCCCGCGAATTAACTATACATTGAGATTTTTGACGTTGAATTATATATCGCAGTCTGATTTACAGTTAGCCGAGGACTTGTTCGATTACAATGGCGACTCTCTATTTGGAAATGTGCTTGTTATCAATTTATAAACAAACAACCATTTGGTTGCGCCCCGGTTTATTTTCAAGTTATAAACAACCATTTGGTTGCGCCTCGTTTCACGCTTAATTTATAAACAACCATTTTGTTGCGACTCGTTTCAGGCTTAATTTATAAACAACCAGTTAGAAACCATTCGACAGTTTACGGCTGAACGCTTCTTAAGCAATAGAAATGGAGTAGTATTACCGTTATGTCAGTTAGATGGTTGAAAGTTTTTGGTGCAATTGCAATGAATTTATAAATTAAGCAGCAGATTAGATTATTTGCTTTAGTATGTACAAAGTTGAGTGTGTATGTTAATACATGTTCATTTCTCATTTGAGAAAATCTCCCCCTTGCTAACGTTTTTATTTCTATTACAGGTGATTTCGGTATCTACGAATGGAACGAATAAAGAAACCAACATTTTTAACCGATACTGGATGTATGGAACAATTTTAAGGTGTAGGAAATCTCAGCTCGATGGAACAAATGATTTTGGAAAACAAAGAAAATTTAGATCCTCAAGCTATAAAATCAAGTATGATCTAAGGCTGCATGAAAAACAGAAGCACAATAATAGCATTGAAGTATGTCTGCCACTCAGTCCAATTGAAGTGGACGCAGCAAGTAAACATAGTATTCATAACGGAAATAGGAAACCAAGTTTAAATAATTATGAGAGCGAAGACCATACTAAATTATTGCTCTTCTGTCATCAAAATTTCTTTAAACAAAATAATTATTTTATAATTTTATTGTTTTATGTTTTAAAAAAAATCATTTAACAAAAAAAAAAAATAGCCTTAGCTTTATTTATTAATGTTAAAAGGTAAATGTTGAGGCCAAAAGTAACTTAATTATTTTGATTATTAACTATCCCCTCGGCTTGTGTTGGTGGGTCAGACAACGTTGCCGGCAAATCACCGAGGTACGCACCATTATTGACGCAGTATTTTATGATCGTGCGCCAAAAAGAGTAGGTCGAGTTCCAGTATATTGTAAAAAGATAACGAGGTCGAGATATTGCGGGGTTAGTCAGTTTCCCGTTTTGGATGAAACCTCATGCATGGCGCATCGAACATGAGTAGGAAGGGGTTGCCGTAAATTATAACAAGGCTCCGTGCGCGAGTTATTGCTAAGTTAACCCGCTTCTCGTGTTCGTTGAATCCTTATCCAAGGCGCAAATCGGTTTTTATGTAGTTCTTATTCGATCTCATTGTTGAGATCAAAATGATGTCGTGTTCTAAAAAAAAAACCAAGCGAAAGCAATATTACTATTAATTCGAACATTAGTGAAATTTTATAAAAATTATACCTGTCCTTGGAATTGCTCCGTAGAACCAATTTTAGGCGCTGCTACGTCGGGAACAACAAAAAGTTTGCGCAAATGTTTAACTTGTTTTAAGAACCATTAGGGACCTTTCATACATACATACATCTATACACCTGAACATGAAAACAAAGATTTAAAGTTTCACTGCGGTAAATGCATTTATTTCCCTACGTATTCTATATTTTGAATACTTATTGCTTTTTTCTTTTCTTTGTTACATATGGTAAGCTGGGCCAAAATTAGGTTTAAAAAAATCAAGATTACTTTACCACAATTTCTGCACCTTTTTTTCGGGTTTTCTGATGCTTTTAATGATTTACATAAAATCTCTTTATAAAAGGCGATAATTGAAAGGGATACATAATCGTCGCTCAAAATTGGTATTAAAAAAAAAAAAAATAGTGAACATAAAATAATGAAATTGGAAGCATCTGAGACAATAGAATGAGCGAATTTGCCAGCATTTTTAATTACACGAGCGAACTTGGCTATAAATAATATGATGATATAGAAAAAAATTACCTATTGAACTCTTGTGGTTTCTTGACGCGATAAATGCGAACTAACCAATGTTCGGCCTCTGCGGCACTTTGTGGTTTATATCAACTAGCTTATGACGACATCGGCATTGCGCCCACAATTAAAAATTTCTGGATAATTACAGGACCGAAAGAGCCGGAGCCTGCTCCACAAGAAGTCGAAAAGGTTCACCCAAAGAAAAGATGGTTTAGACGAAAGAGCGAATAGCACTTAAATTTTAAATTGCTTAGCATCATGAAATTACGCACCCATAGCTTAACAAAATAGATTTCTTTTAATACACAATTCATTAATAATTCATTTAGAAAAACAATTCAATAACAATATATTTTACATAAAAAAAAGAAATATATATATATACATATATGTAAGAGGGATGTTGCTGATGCTCAAAAGGGCACATGACGTTTAAGATTGCTTTCTATTGAATGCAAAATGATTTATTTACGATTTCTTTTGCCTTTTACAACGACGGGCCGGTTCTTAATATAACCCTTCCTACGTTTAGCATTCTGCAATTAGAAAAAGATATTTATAATAAAAGCCAATTTATAAGTTATGAAAAAACGTACCTTTCTTGATTGAAAATTTGTAGGTCCTATTGTACGCTCCCGTAAGGGTAAGCAATTGTTAGCTAAAGGAAGTTTTAACTACCTGTATAATTATACTTAATATATAAAATTAATTACCTGTGTAATTATATCCATGTTACATTTACCATAAATTTCATTTTTTCATCTCTTAAAAATAATTCGAAAAATGTGAGAATAAGTGTCCAATTGATAACTTGTTTGATGAAACTTGTTCGTTTCTTGTTATATTATGGAATCTGGACGGCGAACTTGTGGAATTTGTGGGAACTGGACGGTCAACTTGTGGAATAAAAAAATATTAAAAAATCTCCTATTTGCTATTTTATTGTTTTTATATTTCTTTGATAATTATCTTAAATTATTGGACGACTTTTTTTCTTTATTTAACATAAACATTTAGTTTTATGAGATTTGTGAAATATATTTTCTTTAACTAATCGTTATAGCGAGTTCTTATTAATGATCCACTATTATTAGCTCATCTATGCTCCAGTCTTCATACGAGTGATCGGGAAGAAATCGCCTAATAATGATGAGAATTTTCTTTTGTTCTTTCATAGCAATTTGCAAGGGATCTGTCTCGCCTTTCATTACAATAATTGGAGCGCACATAGCTATTTGCAAAGCTCTTGTACCTAGTACAAGACTAATTTAAGGTAAGGGTCACTAATTTATAAATTCCGCCTTTTCATTTTTATCTGTTTTATGTTTCCGTGTCTTGCGACCGTCTTGCAATTTTTTGCCATATTGAAATGCTGCTTTCGGCAAAGCTTCTTTAGTACTCATATAATCGATATCAGCGATCTATAATAAGCATTCTATTTTCCCCGCAATAAACGGCACTTAACAATAAACTTATTATTCTCTGCATTGACGTTCAATAAAATATCTATATATCTATCTATATCTATATCTAATATTTTATATTGACAACACTGCTTTCATTTACAGCAAAAATAACATATGAGCGAAGCAGCCGAAACGAAATTTTTCTGAGATATTTTTTCATAATTTTTTTCAAAATATAAGCACAAGTGCGGGGAAAATACATATCATAGTCAATTTTAAAAAAATTCTTTTTTAGTTAAAACACAGTTTTTTTTTTGTTTAGCCTGTTATCAACTAAGCGGAGTTAACGAAAAAAGGGACTTCCCTAGATTAAAAAGCAACTCTACTCACGGAGCAGCTATTGTACGCTTATTATATATTTTCTGTGATGTGTTAAAGTAATTTATTGCGACGAGATTGTGTTTACAATTGCCTCCTTTTTGATTTAACTTTTTATAACTGTAAAAGCACGAACGCAAAAAATACGTGGCATTTAAAATTTCGACCAAATAAAAGTACATAAAAACAAAGCAGTCTTTAGAAAATATGCCTACTGTGCCCCAGATTTTTTTGGGAGTCGCCATCGGTCTACTAGGCGCATTTTATGTTTTGCTTTCTTCAAATCGACGCCATGCTATAGGCCACGGTAAAAACTCATCATATTTTGAGTAGGTTAAACATTTTAATTTAGACAGACTAAGAAAAGCATAAATCCAGTTATTTATTTTAACAGAGATCCCGAAAATTCAGTATGTATGATCTGTCAAGAGGAAATGGTGAACGACGACATCCAATATCTTTCGTGTGGCCATGCTTTGCATTCTGTTTGCTGGAATGAATGCAAACGAAGACGTATGGCAGATAAATGCCCTCTATGCCGGAAGGACCTCTAATCTGTAAATGCAGACACGTGTGCATACGTTGCCTCTATACATCAAAAGAAATCAATTGAGATGAAGACTTTTAATTTGTTTATTTGTTTCCAAAAAAATAAAATTCCTAAAGATATTTATTAAAAATCCCTAATGCATGTGTGTTCCAATTTTCACGCCAACGCAATCCTTGAAATTCCTGCAAGTTTTTAATAAAAACTTGCTTTGTTGCATTTGTATTAGTATTGTTGGGAAACTTTTCAAACCAAAAATTCAAATGCTCACTCAATTGCTGATGATTTTCAAACACGAATCCATTCTGATGAGGCTTCACTAACTCATTCAAACATTTGAAGTTGTAAGCACATACAGGCAGGCCGCACCCAAACATATCTACGACTTTCATGGGCAAGTCGAGGCCACTAGAACTCCAGTGTAGGCAAACTCCTAAATCGGCCGCTGCCAATAATGTGCAGTAATCTTCGAAATCGAGCCAAGGCATTACAAACGATACCTTTACCCATTTCATTTTTCCGATTTTCCCCACAAACTCATCTTTTTGAGGGCCTTTACCAGTAATAATACACAATAAATTTGGAAAATCTTGGGGATGTTGTAAGGCGTTATTTTCATAAGCTTTAGCAGAAATAAAAGTAAAATAACGGCTATTTCTGATATTCAATTTCGAATTTTTACCTTCTAAGGCCTTAAGCAAAATACCGAAATCCTCGTCGGGTGTCCAGCTGGTCGAAGAAATTAAAATAGCGTTTCTATCAGCTTTATATTGCACAATGTCATTATGCAATTTTTGGGTAAACGCAGTACTTTCTTTAACCCCCATCTTTTCTAAATCATCACAAGTTTCCGCTTGAAATTGACTATAGCTTTTTGATAATTTCATAAAAATATCATGTTTTTTATACAAGTCAATTGGTTGGAACCGGGACGTTGGACGATCATATAAAACAATCACATTACTAAAATTAAATAAAACATTGCCAAGCAAATCCCTAAATTGATGAAGTACATATTAATTACCTAATATTCCAATTATTATTTAAATCCATTTGCATAGCTTTAGTGACACAAAAGTGAGCGTCTGCTTTACCACCAAAGTAATATTCTAACCATCGAGCAAAACGGCACAACAGATTTCGCTCGCCATCTTTCATACTGAGTGCTAATATGGTGTACGTATAATTGTGCCAATCGATGACCAGCTTGGAACGCATAATCAAGCAATAGAAATAGCATATCATCAAAGTGGGAATACCAGGTGGATTTTGCACTAAAAGAAACTTTGGCCTATTAATCGAAAACAAAGCTCTCAGTAAACTTAGAGATTGCCATATCGTCTTGAATATTAATTTTAACTTGGGTGTAAAATTGACGTCAGGAACTGGTGTTAAGCAATGTATTTTACATTTGCCATGTTGACGAGAAAGTTCTTCCAGTGGTTCAGTCTCTTGGTAACCAATTATATCCACATTACAATTATGTTCCAATAAGCTGCAAGCATGATACTGCATTCGTGGGCTACGCCCGATGTCACCCAAAACAACAATGCAAGCGTTAATAGCCGGTAGAAACAAATCTTCCATTATTTTCGTATAAAGGCACAAACACTAAATAACTTGTCTGATCAGCTGTTACAAATTAACGGTGAACGGTAAGCAAATAATTAATGTTAAGAGAAAGAAAAAAAGTGGAGAAAGTTTTCGTGAAACAGCTTGCAATTCCGCCTATCGCAAAACCGTTCTCAATGAAACAGGCAATTTCGCCTGAATTCATTATATCATTTACAGGTAATAAAATAATTTTCCCGCTCAACAGAATACTATTCTTTATAAATAAATAACAACAACAGGTAAATAAAAGATAAATACCTACCTTCACTGTATATTTACTTTTTTATCTTTACATACAACAAGCACAGTTTCAAGACATTTATCAGCTGCTTGCATTCACTGTGAATGGTTAACAAGCAGAGGACAAAATTTTACAAACAAAATCAAAGCAAGAAAGTGTATTAATAAAAGAAAAGAAAGAAAATTGGATGATTTGTTAAAAAAAACTAAATAAAAGTGAAAAATTACAAAAGAAACAAATTAGGCAAACGAGTTTACATTTTTCCCAACAAATCCAAAGCATTAAAGAAACTGCCTTACTTAAATAAATAAAGAGCAAGATTTATTGATCACTTTTCCAAGGGTAATATCCTTTAATTTTCAGTATAGTGTATTTAACTTTTATTCTTCAAAGAATTTTGGTTAATGTCAACGGCAATGAAACGTAAACGGGGCAGACCTCGCCTAGATGAACCTCGTGATTTTAATGATTTCGATTTAAATTTAATACAAGAGTTCAAAAAACATCCGGTTTTCTATGATCGCACGCATCCGGAACATCGAAATCGTGAATATACCGATCGTATCTGGCACCGTATAGCACATAATCTCAATACGTCCAGTAAGTAATGATTCCCTTTTAATTAAAATATTTTTTTTTTATTTTGCTTTACTATTTTTGCAGTGAATCAAGTCAAAACACGTATAAATCAGCTTCGCAACCGATACAGTTTGGAAAAAAGACGCGCAGAAGCTTTACAGCAGCACGATAATTCTGCAACCTCACAGTGGTGTCTATATAAGTATTTAACCTTTTTAAATGACTACATAAAGACCAGACGACCCTACAGCTTACCGGCAACAACAACAGAAAATAAACCAAGCATATCATCCAGTGAAGCCGAGGAGGAAACAACTGAAGAGGCGCAAGTGATTTTGTAAGTAACAAACAGTACATTGCCGAGAATTAAAAAAAAAAAGAAGAAAATTCCAGAAATGGTCATTCGCTGGCAAATGAGAACTATCGTCAATTGCAATCTACACAATTGAGTAACTTGCCTCAACAACCTAGCGGAAGTAATGCCAAAACTTCCAATGATCTGCCGATGACAACGAAAGATAATGGCCAACAAAAATTTAAAGCTTTTGGCCAATTTTTGACTTCATGTCTCATTGAAATGGACGAAATGCAAGCTTTACATTTGATTGAGAAATTCACGAACGATTTGGTAAAAACCTTCAAACTCGGACAAAAAACTGAAACTATACGGAATTTAAACATTCGATCGACCCACGAAAGTGATTCTTCCCAACCCGGATCAGATTCATAAAGTCGAAAGCTTTTCATTTATCAAGACGTCCTTTCTTTTTTCTATTATTTGCATTTTTCAAATTCAGTGTTATGTTATTAATATAATTTTAATATGATTAAAAATAAAAGTAATTTTATGATCATTATAATTTAAAAAAAAATAATTTGGCATTCCGTCGACATACCTGCCTTTGAATTTATTCATTATTTCATCTAAATGTTTGCTGTTACAATGAACATATTCTAAGAGTGGCCAAATTTGTAAAAATGTCAAACATAACAGCATTGGCAATACTAAACCGTCAGTAGGCAAAAATTACTTTGTAGGCGTCGTGAAAAAAAATAATTCCTTTCGAAAAATTACCGTAATATTTTACAAAATTCCTTTTCAACAATAGAGAATAAAAATGATGAATTAATTTTAAGTTAAATTAACCAAATACATGAATAAAACAATATATTTCGCAATAACCTGTTACTTTAGAAACACCTTAAGAGTAAAGAAGAAAATTTAATAATAATTAAATTCTGCTGCAAACAAAATCGATTTTTGTTTATTTTCGAATCGAATTAAAAAAAAAAGAGAAGGCAAAAGTACATAACCACCCTAACGAAAACGCATTAAAAACAATAATAAAATAATAGAAATCAAGAGTAAGGAAGAAAGTGCAGTAAAGCCTTATAATTAAATCATATTTAAAAAAATAAGATAATTAAAAGAATAAGAATAACATATATAGAATAATGGCTCATTCAGTGCATGTTGAACGTAGCATACATGAAATGCTTAAGGACACTCCGTCCATGAATGAAAGTGATAATGCAGTGCATACTGGTACAGAGGCTTCTAGTAGTAGTCCACCATTCGCGCCGCCCAATAGCCTGCCTCTGAGGAATCATTCGGGTAATCTACTTCTTATCAACTATTATCCTTGTAGGTATTTTTGCAAAGATTTAATTTTATTTGTTTAGCACCAACTACACCCATGTCTCCAAGTAGTCCACAAAATGGCTTAGATGCTAGTTTATTTCGAACAGGCGCCTCAAAAATTGATACAATAAAAAATTGGAGTATATCAACATATAAATGCACTAGACAGATAATGCTAGAAAAGCTGGGCAAATCTCAACGCACTGTTGATTCAGAGCTGGAGGCGCAAATTGAACAATTGCGTGATACCCAACGAAAATATTTATCGATTTTACGTTTAGCGCGAGCCTTCAGTTCCCATTTTCATCATGTGGTGATTACACAACATGCCTTGGCTGATGCATTTGCAGATTTGGCTCAAAAAAATCCGGAATTACAAAAAGAATTTAATTGCAATTCAGAATCGCAACGTTCGCTAACGAAAAATGGGGAGCTACTGCTGAATGCATTAAATTTTTTTATATCTTCAGTGAACACACTGTGCAATAAAACCATCGATGATACACTGCTAACAATACGACAATACGAAACGGCAAGGTAAAAGTAAAACCAAAATTTATTTTCGATGGGAATGAGTTAACTTTTATTTTAGAATTGAATTTGATGCATATCGTATGGATTTGGAAAATGCCAAACCCGACATGCCCCAATCACCGATCGCAGAGGATATACATAAAAACTATTTACAACATAAGGAACTTTATGAGAAACTAAGGGCGGATGTGGCCATTAAAATGCAATTTTTAGATGAAAATCGGGTACTTGAAAACATTGTTTGTCTTTGTTTTTGAGATGTCAATGAATGACCGTTTCTTTTTAATCCAATTTAGATTAAAGTCATGCATAAACAATTGGTTTTATTACACAACGCTATAGCGGCTTACTTTTCGGGTAATGCCAACGCCTTAGAAAGCACTCTAAAACAATTTAATATCAAGGTAAATATACCATAGATAATATATGTAATAGTTTGCGAAAACGCCATGATTATTCCCCGTGATCCGTTGAATATTTCTTGAAATAACTCTCATTCTACAACGGAGAAATAAACTATTCGGCATTTGTATCTAATATCTAGAATTTCTTTTGCTGAGATTGACTTGGCTTTAGTTTTAATCACCACATTTTGTTAGTAGTAATCAATTTTTTAACATGTATGAAAGAGCTGCACCACTGAATAGCAGCTGCAGTGAATGGTACTTAAAATGTCCTTTATGTTTTTGTAATTAAAATACTATTCTGATGTTTTTGAAATTGTTATTCAAATAAACAATAATGGTTATATATATATGCTCAGCATATATACTGCATTCAGCCGGTTCCTTTGGAGCATTATTTATGATCTAATTAACTCGTATTTAATATTTGCCGAGCAAAGATTCTAACTTCATTTCGATTGATGCCAATATTTTCGATAAATTTAAAGTTTCGAAACCTACCCGCGAGTATTAAAGTTTTCGCTCATCTTTCATGTGAAATCGTCGTTTTTCTTTTTTCACTCTCCGTCTTTAATGGTCAGTTCTCGATACGTTTACCAAAATGCTAAATCTGTAAACTTTCTTCAACATTCGTTGCTTTCCAGCAGCAAAGTTTCGCCGCTTTTACAACAAAGACCGTTTCGATCGCCACATGTATATGGACAGTGAGCGTTTTTCAATATAAATAATTCGTGAAGAGGCTGGCAGTTATAATCTTAAGCGCTTACGACGGCCTTTCTAAACTACATACATTGAATACTTGCGAAAAATTTTACTTGTCCTTTTTTTCTTTCATTTCAGTTAAAGACTCCCAATGCGACTACAGGGTCTTGGCTGGAGCAGTAGTACTTCTTGGAGTCGTTCACACACTTGTATTCCTTTCAGATAAGAAAACCAAAAAATATTTCCTTGTTCACTTATACAACAACACATTCAGACACCCTATATACATTTACAAATAAATATATATTCAAATATATATTTAAAATGAAAAAATAAAGAAAAAAAGAACAAACACCATAAATTATATATACTTTATATGGCTTTTTATGTACTCAATAATTATGTTTACATTTACTCCTTTTAAGTATCAAAAAAAAAAAAACATTAAAAAATAAAATAAAAATTTAATTCATATTTTAAAACTAAAAGGACTTCTCGAAAGGAAATCATCTTTATATATTTATTAGGACCAAAAATATAGTATTTATAAAATTTTGGGATTATTGAAGACAAGAGATTATAGTTCTAAAAATAATAAAGAAATTATTTTCGTATTTTCCCGAGAACAATTTTTAATACTCACTTTTTATCATGGATTTGACTCCATGAACAGACTCACTCACGGTCAAATTTATCAATAATTCATCCAGAATTACTTTAAAAATGTATATCACAGTTTTATTCAATAGCAACTTATCGATAATCCCACAAATTAAAAACGCACTTCTGCTTATTCCAAAATGTTTTTAGGATAATTATGATCAAACTTTTAGACTGATAGCATTTTTGAATTCGCCCAGACGATTTTAATAAAAATTTTTTTAAATATTCAAACTAAATTTTGAGGTCATTATTAAAGGGGAAAAAAAAGAGGAAAAACATAATTTTTAACTAAAATAATATGTAAATGTATGTACATGTATATGATTTCAATTGTTAAGGGGATTTGACTACTGATACTTATATTGAATGCACGCGTATTTCTATGCATTCCAAAAAGCTTTATTATTCTAATAAAATATAGCTGGTTTTGGGTATAAACAAAAACTGAAACTGTGGGCGAATGTACAAAAGGACTGCTTTTAATTTGACTCTAAAGCTGTGGTTGATTTATTTTCTATCTTAACCGACATTTCTTGTTCAGCTACAAACATTTCCTAGAATAAAAGAAAATAATAACAAAAGATTGACAATTTAGTAATGGAAAAACTTACCACATCATAAATAACTTTAATTACCAGCGAGCAAGATGGACAAGTAGCTATTTCTTCGCCTAACATTAACTGTTCCTTAAATTTAGTAAATATTGAAATACTAATAAAAGTTTCAACGGAACAGTATCTTTAAGTTTTAATTACTTTGCTAATTTCGAAACGGTCACCGCATGGACAAGGATAGTAATAAGTCTCCTCTTCTTCGTCATATTCAAAATCTTCAATTTCGACTTCATCATGAAATACACTCATTTTCGTATGCTAAACATATTATTATTTATAAAAAGCAAAACGGCACAACTTTTACTCGTAATGAAATAAAAATACAATCCACACACAACTAACTGTCAGATTATTAGCACGTTGTAAAAATGGAAATCAAATTAATGGAATTTAACTTAACTACCCTGTTTTTACACAATTGAGGATAGTTTTGTAAAGCAATGTGCGTGATTTTACATTTTTTTTCACACTGATTCAAATTCTGGATAAACTAAAAAAAACAAGCATGTCAACCTTTGGTATAAGCACATGATTATTAATGGATATGTACGAAAAGTTTTTCATGATGGATACAATAACTTTTTAGTGGGGAAAACTCTCAATCAAAACGCATTGGCGACTGTATACATCTAATTGTTTATGATAGATAGTAAAACACACAGGTAATTAATGGAATAACTTACCCAAGTAATGACAACAGCACTCCTAGAGCAACTGGGACAAATAGCTACTCGTTTACCTGCTAATAAGTTTGACTAAAACGATATATATACATATAAAAAAGCAAAACCATGTTAAACTTTTGAAAAGTTATCTATCGTCGGGTTAACTTACTATGTAAATTTCGAAACGGTCACCACACGGACAGGGATAATAATAGACTTCATCTAATTCACAATATTCGAGTTTTTCAATTTTAATTCGTTCAGCTTTTATATGCTAAAAACAGAATTATAATTTACAAAGAATCACAGCTATAATATTTTTTTATGTTCTTTAAGAGTTTAATATCATATCGAGAGAAAAATTGGAAGTATGTACGCCGAGGACACTAAACTTTGCGGTCTTATCAAACTTTCCAAATTGCAGAGATTTTGATATGTAATAATCATTTTCGATGATGTCATAAAATTTAACTAGATAAACAAAATTAGCAAAATCTCCGCGCGACTCGTTAATATGGATTAAAAGCCGCTAGAAAAAAATTAAGCAGCTTTCTATGCCCAATATGCCTGAAAATTGCTACGTGCGTATTTATCGCCTTCATAGCGTGAAAAGCGCGCAAGGTTTTCATGTATTTCAAATAAAGCCGAAACAACTCTGTGTTTGCATGGAGAAAAAATAAAAATTATAAACAAGTTGTTAGTTTTACCAAAAAGTTAAATAAAAATGTCTACAACAAAATCAAGTGAGGTAAATTATTATGAAGTACTAGATATTGATATAGAAGCTCAAGAGGCAGAAATACGCAAAGCCTATCGGAAGAAGGCCCTAGCATGTCATCCAGATAAGAATCCCGACAATCCAAAAGCAGCTGAGTTATTTCATGAACTTTCTAAAGCTTTGGAAATATTAACAGATATCAGTGCTCGAGCCGCTTATGATAAAGTCTTAAAAGCCAGAAAAGCGGCTGAATTACGCCACAAACAGTTAGACAGTAAACGACAGAAATTAAAAGACAATTTAGAACGACGTGAACTGGAAGCGTTCTATAAACCCCACGTCCAGAAGACAGATCAAGAAATTTTGCAAGAGGAAATTGAACGCATCAGACGTGAAGGCTCTCGTTTGCTGGAGGAGGAACATCGTTTATTAAGGGAGCAATTGCAACGCACATATGCCGAACAGGCGCAGCCAAAGACTACTTTTAATTCCGCAGAACATCGTATTAAAATAAAATGGGAAGCTGATAAAATGGATGCCAGTAACGGAGGGTATAGCGAAGAAAAATTAATGGGCTTCCTGAAAAAATGGGGCGATATTGAGGCTTTGGTAATGAGCAAGAAAAAGGGCAAAGCTTTAGTAGAATTTAAGACCTTAGAAGCTGGGGAGATGGCTTTACTGTATGAGAAAGGGCTAGGGAGTAATCCCTTATGCCTCAAGCCGCTTAACCCATCTCCTGATAAAAGAGCACCAAAAAGTACATTAGCAAATTATGAAGATCTGGCCATGCGGAAGCTAAGGCAGGCGGAAGAACGTAAACGTTTAATAGAACAAATGTTAAAAGAAGACAGTGAACAAGCGTAAAAACTATGTGTAAAAAAGATTAAGGAAAAATATTTGAATACATACCCAGAATTTGCAATGCAATAAGAATGAATAAAAACGCTTACAAAAGAAACGACAGTTTTTGTATTGCTTTATATACCAGATCATTGTTATCGATAAACACACACAAATTTGTAGTTATCGTTTGTTGTTTAGCTCATGCAACTGTCGTGGCAAGCGATTTTGCTTTTATTAATTTTCTTCTAGGACTTGTATTTTTTTCCTTTAAATGGTTTTTGTTAAATAACCGTGGAATAATGGAACGTACAAAACGTGATTTAGAATCAGTTATTAGCTCTCAAAATGAGCAATTGACACGTTATGAAAAGCGACTCAAAGGTATTGAGGTATTTATGTTATGAAAATGTACGAGAAATGCAATAAATTCCTTTATTAAATTAAGATGTTGTGACTGCTTATAAGGGATTGCTTAAGGAAAAGGAAGCTCTAGAGACCAGTTTATCTGCTTTGACGGCAACCAAGGCAGATGTCACTGGCGAAGACGACAACGAACCCTCTTCGGAAGCTGCTCATACAAGGGATAAAAATGAAAAAGTTATTAATAACGAAGACGTAATGCTACCTGGTATTGATGACAAAGCCAATCTCCAGACGCAAATTCATACGCTTATGAATTCTTTGGCCACCCTGTCGGCTGAAAAGTCGCGTATGGAAGCTTCATTTCAAAATGATAAAAAACAATTACGCGTTTTACTAACGCAAAAAGATCAGACGATCAATGATTTGCAAAAGAAAATTAAGGAAAATCAAGATAATGCAAAAAATGATATAGAAGATGTAAAAGCTAAATGGATTATTGAACGTCAAGAACGTGAAAAAGAAACAAATAATCAAATTTTAATGATTCGCGAATTGCAAAAACTTTACGCTGACGAACGCCATCTTAAGGAAAACATTGAAATGCAACTGAATAACTTTAAAACCCAGTTTGCTAGTAATGAGGCCGAAAATTATCGTTTAAGGGATTTGCAAGCGCAACTGAAGGATGCCAACGCTCAGCTTAAACAATTTCAAACCAATAGTAAACATCTAAATATTGAACAAAGTGAGGAAAGCTCTAATCTCTTGAAACAAGTGCAACAAGAGATGCGTTTACTTAAGGAACAACATGCTGTGGCAATTAAAAACGAGCAAAAACGAGCGCAGCTTGCCGAAGAGCAATCTCGAAATCAAGCTGCTCTGCATGAAGATCGCGTCGCCAATCTGGAAGCAAGACTAGCTGAGCTAAGCACCACAGTGGGCACTTACGACCGTTTAAGACAGCAAGATCAAGAATCCATCCACGTGTTAAAAAGGCAATTGCAAGATTTGGAACGCTCTACGCTTACTACGGAAATCAACAATGACCAATCCTTCAGTTACAATCATTCCGAAAAAGAACGGATCTTAAATAAGCTCGCCACAAATAGTGGCGATGATTTGTCTGAAATCGTGGATGAAATCATGCGCCTTAAAAAAATATTGTTAACTGGAAATTCATGTTCCTCCAATCCCATCGATTTAAATAAAATATTTTCTGTTGCCACTGATCATACAGAGTGCCAAGACGAACTTAATCGAGTAACATTTCAATTAGAAGCAGCTCATACTGAACTTAAGGCATTGCAAGAGAAATTAACACAACAAAAAACGCATATAGCAACACTCCAGGACAAAGTTCAAGTTTTGAATACAAATATAGAGGACCAAGAATTGGAATTAAAACAGCACAATGAAAAGCTTCGGTTAGCTGTTAAAGACGAGCGAACTAAATGGAAAGAAAGGCAGAATGATTTAGAAAATGAATACCGTGGCAAACTGAATGATTTGGAACAACAGTTACATAAACAACGCTCGCGCTCGTTGCGATTACTCGACGAAAAAGAACAAGAAATCAAGACGTTGCAAACATCATTTGAAATATTCCATAGCAATAATCATCATAATATTAGTGCAATTAGTGAAACAAATAATGCTGTTTCTTCGGATGCCGAAAGCGATGACGAAGCTCATCATCTTGCTTTCCCTCAAAAAAAACTTTCAGTAAAGCCTAAAAAACTTGCGGTCAGTGATAGTTGTCACATGTTGCATTATGCCAATGAAATAGCGCGTAAGGATATCGAAATTACAAATCTTAGGAAATCCAGATATGTTGCCGAAGCTTCCATGCGTAAAGCTATACAAGAAAAGGTTGCTGCTCAGGAGGAATTACTTACTAAAATATCGGCATTAGAAGAACACGTCGATAGGTAAAGTATCATACCACGGCAAATATTTGAGAAATGTGGAAGTAAAATGTGTAGAAGTAGTATGTAGATATGAGTTTCACTTTGAAATCTGGAGGAATAAACGCTAAATGTGAATATAAAAAATTTAATTCATGCTAAATATAATTTTTTTTTGCTTTCTTTCTTGGTACAGACTGGAACGTTGCAAGACACGAGAAGGCGCTAATTTAGAGTATTTGAAAAATGTTATTATTAGCTACATAGTATCCAAGGATCCTGATGGACGGCGTCATATGATGAACGCCATCAGTGCTGTACTTCAATTCACGCCAGCTGAAACTCAAGCTATTAATTCTGCTCTCCATAAGAAGTGAAAGTTGTGTCAATTATGTTTTGTACATATATATTTATATCTATGTATATTTGAAATTATTGCAATCAACGAAAACCGTTAACAGGAAATTTGTTTAAATGTTCTTTTAATACGGCCGGAAAAATGGAGAAAAATTTGTATCTACCGCCCATTTGTTTCGGATCAGTTAACATTTCATAGCCAGATTTGAGAAGACTTTGATTTTCAGGTAAAGCGTTTTTCAAAAGTCGCTAAAATATGTTATATTTGTATTAATATTATAACCTGGTAAGTAAGGATACTTTTTTACCTCTAAGCGAACGTCACCTTGCATCTGTTGTAAGAATATTCCTTGTTTAATAGGCCCAAAAGTAATGACTTCATTATTTTTCTCAGCGGTATGCTTCATTCGACGAAAATCTACATCTGCGGTTAAATCGGCGCTGCCTGGCTCTATTAAAGGGTCATGTAACGCATGCTTGCGAAAAGCCTTCAAAAAGAAAAAGAGTTGAAACGGTTATATTCGACTTTCGAACGAATCTTGCACCATCGTAAAAAATTACATAAAATTGGCTAATTGCATTTGTTCTGCACGTGTTTTTAGTATTCTCTCTGCAGTGAATTTTAGGGACCTGATGACTTCTAAGTTTAAATTCCTTATGTGTTGTTTGCTGTAGTTTGCAATCCATTATGAGCAAATAGCTAACACTTCATTAGTTTGAGGTATATGCAAGTCATTTTGTTTTATTTACTTTTTTTTATTAACAGTATTCGTAAAAAAACGGTGATGTCGAGGAATAAAGAAATATGCGACGAATTTCAAGTGCATTTCCTAAGTTTTTAAATAACAAAAGGGCGGACGGCCGGACAAGCGACACCACAAAAGTCAATCTGACATTGCTTGTGTCTCCTCTCAATAAAATTGCTGGGTATTGTATACGGAAAAACATATCTGTTATATAACTATGTTGCGGTGGTGGTTGAAAACAAATATTCTAAATTGTAGATTACAATTTCTTACCCTGAAGGTGTCGGTTTTATCGCCAAAGTGGCCGTAATCGATTACCAAACCAATGCCGCCATCTTCTTGTAAACGTTTCGCTAGCATGCTAATTAACCTATCCGATTCCAAAGAATATTCCAAACTTAACCTTGTATCGCTTTTCAATGGTTGATAAAGTTTGGAGACCGGGGTCTGTTCTTTTGACAGAACGAAACGAAATTCCGGCTTTTCCGAAACATTAGAAACAATGTCTATCAGCACTTCTTTCCACAAATTGTTTTCTAATTGTAATTTATGTATTGGTAAAGCGTCGAAAAACTCATGGGCGACAACTAAAGAAAAGTTTCGGGGTACATCTTCTAAATGTTTATACCAAAATACTTTTATGCCGGATGGAGTTTCGCCCTTTCTATAAAATCGAGATTTATTATCATCTATTGATGTGGAGCCATGACATATACGCTCCGCTTGCAGTCCGCCAAGATAAGGGCTTATCTCCACTAGATGTATGGAAAATTGAGGATCGATCTTGAAATGCGTTAGAACTCGTAGCAAATCACGGATTAAGGTACCTCTCCCGGGACCTAATTCTACCAGCTGAAATTCGAGACTGCCCAATTTATACCATTCAGTTAAAAGCCAAATTCCCACCAACTAAGGGAGAAAAAATTCTTTAAAGCTTGTATTAAAAGTAAATCCGCGGAATTCACCTCTGCAAATATCTGGGAAATTTCTGGTGATGTTATAAAGTCTCCTTCTCTGCCAAATACGTCTTTATACATATAGTATCCGCCTTGAGGATGAGTTAAAACTTCGCGCATATAATCAGCAACAGTAATAGGACCGGTGGCTAATATTTTCGCTTTCAATTGTTTAGTTAGATCAATCGTCTTTTTGCCTTCTTCCTCGGTAATCACTTTGGTTTTTTGTTTAATTTCTTGTGAAAAATCTGGTCTTTTCACTGATTTGTAACTAAATTTTCTAATTTCGTGTCGTAAAATATATTTAAAAATTTTTTCCAACATATTTGCAGTTACTTTTTTTTTTCTTCTATTATACGAACGTAACTAAAATCTGTCATATGCTTGAAAACAGTTATCATATGTAGCAAGCGTTGTTGCAGTCGATTAAATGGTCTTGATAAAAGAAGAACAAGAAATTGAAACATATGTTTTTGGTATTTGTGAAGATTTCGTTTATAAACAGTCAGTGCTTTTTAGTTTTCAGCAAATTTTGAGGAAGATTTATTTAGAAAAGGAAAATAATAATATGGTGCAAGAATTGTGTAGAGTATGCGCCACGGCTGCCCATGAAGACACGGCCATAAAATTATTCGAACGCAATCAAAAAGAATTGTTACAACAATTACGGCTATTGACGGGTTCAATGGTATGTATGACATGTACAGCGACAATAGTGTCTCGGTAAAGTTAAAAAATTATATATTCTGAAATATTGCAGATAAAAAACAGTATTGGTTATCCTAGGTTGGTTTGTTGGGCGTGCCAACAAAAACTGATGGACGCTTACGCTTTTCGTCAGTGCTTTGTTAAGTCTCAATTATTTTTTAAAGAGAAAATGAGAGAAAAGCTTATCGCTATGCAGGAAGCCAAAAAATTTAAAGAAAAAACGAGGACACCTAAAGATTCGGAATTATTTCCGAACACAGTTAAGGAAGAGGAAGGGAATGACAATAATGATCGTAAAAAGGAAGATCACGAAGAAGTTTATGAATCATCTGAATTTGAAAATGTGTTAAAAGAGGAAGAACATCAAGGATTGAGTAAAGACGATATTTTCGAAGCCGAGGAAGAAGAGTTTATTAATATAGATCAGAAAATTGAAAGCAACTTTAGCGTATACGAATTCAATAACGAAGATGAGCCGGATGGTAATGTTGAAACCATGAACAATGCGAGCGTGGAAAAGAAAAGTCCAGAAAGATTGCAATTGGAAAAAAAGAAAACGTTTAAAGGTCGAAAGAAGCGCAAGAATGCCCCAGAGGAGCCGAGACAATATATATGCGATCAATGCGGGAACCATTTTAGTTGTCGGCATCATTTTGTAATACATCTGAGAAGACACACTGGTGACAAGCAGTATGCTTGCGAGTAAGATGGAATTATGCTATGAAATTGAATTTGATGAATAAAGCTCTATTTTAGAATATGTCCTGACAAGTTTTTCACCAACTCGGAATTGACCCGACACATGAGAAAACATACCGGCGAAAGACCATTCGCTTGTAAATTTTGTTTAAGAAAGTTTACCGATTACAGTACCCGGGTGAAACATGAAAGGTGAGAGAGGATTATAATGCGTTTTTATGGTCATCGCAAATATTTATAATGCCGACGAGAAATGAAAGATATATGTATTCTTAAATTGAGTGATATGAAAAAAGTTCAGATGGATAAATTTGGTGCATATTTTCTTTCATTTCTTTTTTCAAATTAAGTTCCAAAAATTGTTACAACATTTTTTTTCTAGGTTATCAAATCAAGTATTTTTTTTTGATTAATATTGTTATTGTAAAAGCAAATGTTAACCAGTTATTAAGGGTGCGCCCTAGTTGCCAAGAGTAAAAATGGTGTATATGCCAAGAAATGTGATAAATAGCTTAAAAATACCTTAGCACGATAAATGACATTCAACTGAAGGATTTCCTCCGACTAATGAGAATTGAGAAGTTTCGTCCAAGCCGAATATAACATTGCTCAAATTAATTGTTGAGAAATTTGCATTTTTTTATTTTTCATAGAACTCATACTAATGAACGTCCTTTTCAATGCAATGGATGCGGAAAATCATTTACCACGTCCTATATACTCAAAAATCATATGCTGACGCATACTGGGGAAAAATTGTTTAGGTACTTTTCCATTGAATGCATCTTTCTATTAAAAATAGCTTTTATTTTTTAATCGCAGTTGTAACCTGTGCAACAGATCTTTTAGCCGACGTACACATCTAGTGGTGCATTATCGATCTATATTGCACAAGCAAGCTGAAGAAAAACAAGCGGAAAACGCGATTTTCTAATTAAAATTAAATTAATTTAACATAAAATAGAAAAAAAAATGAACAGGGAGTGTAAATATATATGTCTTTCAATTGTAATTAAATTTCTCTGTTTTATTAAATTCAATGTAACGGACACATCGGGTTGATTAAGGGGTTGTAAGACGTCTTACATATAAATCCTTAACAAATATTTAATAGTCCATCAATTATTAACTAACTGCAAAGTGCGGTGGTCGACATCTCTAGAAGATGTAATTCTTTCCTTGGAACTAAATCTTGAATTTAGAACATGCAAAGTTTAAACAAAGCTGGAAATAATTTTCTATATTTATGAACATTTTGTAGCCAGAATAAGATCTAAAGCCCGAGGTGTATTTATAGAATATTTATAGAAGTCACAGAAACAATGCATGACCTCAGTCGTGCAATCCGCCAACTGCCAGAAGTGCTCCGAAATTCAAAATTCTTCGCTAATTTATTTCATTTTACTCTATTATCAATTATTACTGTGACTTTTTTTATACTCTACACCGCATCTGGGGTATACTAAAATTGTGGGGATGTTTGCAAAACCCAAGAGGTCTTGGGAAAGATACATACGCAAATAAGAAAAAATAAAAAAATTCACTTTTAATTAACTTATAAAACATGTACACGAAATTCAAGATCTTTGTTGGTGTGAAAAGCGACATGCTTGATCTTATTTATTACTATCTTTGTCGTACATTATCTTATCATCTTTAAAGACTTTATTTTTGCACAACCATAAGGAAAAGTTTGGTTTCCATTCATTTTTAGACATGAACAAATGCTAAAGAATAATAATGTCCGCGCCATAATATAGAGATTAGAGAATTCAACCGCATGTGGGACATTGCCCGCGTTCACTAAGGCATCGTGAGTGGAAAATATGATGACAGGAAAATTGCCGCGCATATTGATTTCGCACTTCACTTCCGCAGATCCCGCATATTGGATGTCTATTAAAATAAATAGTCGCAGTAAATTTTTTTCCGTCGGCTTAAATCCAAAAATCCAACTTACCCATAATTAGATGGGTTCTCATTATTGCCATCAATATAAGCCACTGGTGTGCTGGATTTATAGACGTAATACACGTAAAATAGTAACCCAATGGCGACTCCTGCCATGAAGTGAGGAGGAAGCATATTTTTTAACGGACCCCTTGTTGTTACGTTTTCCCTTTTTGTATCTGTAGAAATTTAAAATATCACAAATTGTAGTGCATGTGTCTGTTTTGCAATTATAAAACCGAAAAGAAGTGTGAAAGTGAATATTAAAAACGCCGGAATTTTTTTTTTTTTAACAAAATTAAACACGTTGATAAGAGCAAAGTTGCCATGCTATTAAGGGGAATTAGGGGGAAATCCCAATTTCTTTTCATTGTTTTTGTTATATTTGCTTAGCAAACGTCAAGCTATTTTCAATCACCCCAATATTCAACTTCTTATGTATCATCAGCTGATTTATACTTATTTATAACATACAACAAACGTTCACACGGTGTTGCTCACTCACTGAATATTCATGAAGAAGAAGAAGAAACTATAATAACAAGAATTAGTTGCCATTGTTTATTAATTCAATATCTTGTACAAAATCCAACTGTACGTACTACGAACATAAAAATAAATCTGACTTCAAATGAGGAAAATAAAAAAGCGAATGGAAGGGACAAATTAAAATTGAGCAAACGTGAACGAACGTGACATGCACTAGTTCAATAAATAAAGAATATGTGTATTGATGAAGATGTTGGGTTTGCAATCGTTACCGAAGACGCGATGAATTTTAGACTTAAGTTAACAAGCTAATTGTCATACCGAAGGTTATATCTAAGATGAGTTGACGTTTCAAAAGGCCCAACTCGGCTCCCGAGCAGTAAGAAGTACTTTTGGACGGATTCCATCGAATCAATACAACGTTGTTTAAGCAAATAAAAACATTATATTTAAGGGGCAGTCAGTAAAAACCATACATCACTTAGCGTAATAAAATCTTCATTTATATCCACAATAAAATATTATTATTACTATTATTATAAATTTAGCCAGAGAATAAATTCTAAAACTAAACTCTTAAAGCACATCTAAGGCTTTCGGCTTTATTAAAAACTCTACCGCACTTAAGATTTGAACCCACGATCATTAAGTTGCTACTCGAGATTCTTGCCTACTCGGCCACTCAGGCGGATCCACAATAAAATAAAAATTATACATGTTTCCTTTCTATGGGGAGCTCTTGCATGGCAGATGGCAGAAAGCGTAAACTTATGTGATCCAAAACGATTTTAAATGATGAATGAAACGATCTAAATGATTTCATCATAAAATGCTAGCAATAAGAATTTGTTGTGATATAAAAACTTACCTCTGATGAGAACATTGAGAGATCCAAATAACAGACCTGCTCGACGCCGACAATTTATATGTCAACCATAATTTAGAGTCCAGTTTCTTACATTTGAGACAAGTACAAACACTAAGTAACGTACACAGCCAATACAATGCACAACTTGGAAAAATTGAATAAAGAATAATAATCTTTTTATTTATTTGCTGTCAAATTTTATAAACTTACGCTTGCAAGACTAATTGCTTTGTTTCGGGACATTTGATTACGTAAGTAGTTAAACACACTGCAGATGAACTTCGCCCAGAAGTGTACTGTGAACGGGGCACCGATTTGTAAACATATTGTAACATTTAAAATTTGAAAGTTACTGGATCGCCACAAAACAACGTATGAATTTGTGGCAGGGAGTTCTGCCTAGCCAAGGCAAAACGGGTCTCCTTGGTGCCGCTAAAGAGTTGCAAAAATATTCCTCGTCTAATCTCATCGTTTTCATAAATAAAAGGAGCGATGGTTTGAGCTAACCAATCTATCAAAGATGTCGCGTTTTTGAGAAAACGCATGCAATAATTCAGTGTGCACGGGTGGAAAATGTGATCGTTGCTTAAATTTCATATATAATAGTATTGCTCAAAATCTTCTGATTTTACATTAAAACTCACCCATCTTCATTTTCATTAAAGCGCTTATTGTCTGGCCTTCGGATGCGCACAACATCAACATAAACGCTTTTAACACTTGATGCGCCACTAGTATTCGAAGGTAAGGAGCTGCTGTCGCACATATGCGTGACATTTATAAATTTATAACTACTTCTGTTTCACTCTCAGCCATATTGAAGCGAAAATTTGAAAATTTAACAAATATCAATTTATTTATTTTATTTGGGAATTTTTCAAAGTTTACAACCAGTTTGAGCGTTTGGACCATTGACGACCCTAAAACGGTAAACCGCTCTTACTTTCTCAATAAGATCCTCGCGTAGTACGCTGATTACTCTATTTGCACTGGGAATTGATATGGCGGCATTAATATAATCACCGCTCCCTTCTAATTTGTTTAATAATTCAGGGTTTGTGGTGCTAAATCGATTATTGTTTCGTTGGGCAGGCTTTATTTCGAAAGACATTCTCATCACAAATTTTTTGTATTATTATTCTTGACTTTAATGAATTTGAATTATCTCATTTTTCCCTCCACCGTATGTTCAGCACAGAGTGGTTTTTAATAGGATATTAATTCTGGGATGTTAATACGGTGAGCAAAATATTTAGCTTTGAATACTAACGAAAAGCATTCCACCGGTATTTCAAACAATCCGCTGTTATCTGAAAACGCGCAAAATCAATCAGTGTGTGTGTGAAAATGGCCAAAATCAATCCACTCTACTCTGAAAATGGACAAAATACATATATATTTTTTAATAAAAGTAAACAAAAACTCAGCAAAATTCTTACTCAAAATTCTCATTTTGTTTTCACCAAAAAGACCTGTAGCATAATTCTTTGATTAAATAAAATTTCTTTATTGTAAACAAAAACCGAATGAAAAGAAAATTTGAAAATTTAACAAATATCAATTTATTTATTTACTTATTTGGACATTTTTTAAAGTTTACAACCAGTTTGACCGTTTATAATCTTGTGTTCATAGTAAAACGTTCTTTTTCCATAAAGAAACGCCTCTTTAAGATCGATTTCGCCCAATTTGAACTTTACATACGAAAAATTTCACGCTTAACAGGATTGCAGTAACGTAGTGTCATTACAAATAAAACGAAATTAATTAAGAATGAAATACCTAAAGGTGCTGAGAAAAAGGAAGATGCACTGAGAACATTGTCTGAAATTAGACGAGAATCGTTAGTCGGACTTTCTCTTAAGGTGATTTCTAATTTCATTTGACAATTAAACCAGCACATGCCATGACCATTGTTAAGTCGTAAACTTTTGCTTAATAAATTGGATTTTGCTAAGGCTATCGTTGTGACTATGATAATTGTTGGCAATCCCCGACTATATACCGAATAAATCGAAACGCGTCTGTTGTGATTTTTTGGGAAACTGCGCTTGTTTCCTCCACTAGATCTAAAAAAAGCAAAATTCGATGTTGTCTGGCTTTCCGCTATATTTGCAATTCTTCGGAAAAATAAATAAATAAATTGTTGATGACATCATTGACTGGAGTGTGCTAGTCAAAAAGGTGCGCTATAATCTGGTCACATAATATATCCAGCTCATCCACCATCAAAACGCATACCAATTATGGTATGAACTAACTGTCAGTGGAGTCTCACCAGTCTTAAGATAGCGTGATAGGCGCGTTGCCAATTTTTTTAAATGGCTGACAGGCTTAAAAGCATTGCTTAATTTAAGGTAAAACTTGAAGTTATACCATTTCAATATAAAAATATTAATAATTAATAATTACATGTTTTATATATATGTACACTATAAAATTCTATATTAGTAGTTATAATAATATAACTATAAATAAAATGTAAATTTAATATAAAATTAAGAAGAAAAAAAATTAAAATAATAAAAAATGAAGAAAATTAATGTTAATTTGTGTGTATTATCAAAAATATGTAATAAATAGAGCTTTCGGGTACACTAGAGTTGACGCATCTAATCGAAGAGAAG